ATATTTTTGTTGTACTGTCGCACATTATTATTTTTAAATATGGCATGTTCGGTGGCAGCTGATACCGCTTGTAGCGAACGGATTTCGTCAACGTTATTCGCGTAAACTGTTCACACTTGAGGAGGGATGGATACTAGTCGCAGATTGGTGTACAGTGATGGTGTTGCCACATCAAAGGTTAGGTCAAAATGTTGAGTATTTGTTTAGTTTTTTTTTTTTTAAATTATAATAGTTATATAAATAATTATTCTATATTTTTTCTCTCGGCATTCATGTATGGCTGCACACAAAATATAATATCTATTCGTGTCATTACTTCTCCTAGTATTCGCCACGGAGTTATAGCGAAAAGCTTATTGCTTATCAGTCTCCCTAATTAATAGTTTTGGTGAGGTTTTACAAGTATCTGAAAAAAAAATAGCAATTTCTGACTTTATAATACTGCAACTATGTCATTTTCATAACGATTATATTATAGTCTTTTAATAAAAACTTATATTAAAATGATAAAATATTTAAAAAAATAATTTTATACTAATAATTTTAATGTCATAAGAAGAGTATAATTCTAGAGTATATTTTTGTTATTTTGAATTATAAAATTATTATTTTCCTTCATAGAATTTCCGGTTGGGTTAATTCCTTCCAGTAATCATTGTATCGAAACATGTTATATTTGTGATAAAAAAATGTTTGAGAGTACCACCGAATAGTGGCTTACCTTTTACAGCTGTTCCCCATTTTTTGTTAGTATAATTCATACATACTATCGTATAGCTGCGAATTATAATATTATTGTAATCGTATATTATAGTGGTTACGTTTTCGTCCGTCTAGTAACGCAGCATCGTCCTAGTGAGTGACACGTCGTGTTAGACTCGGGGTCGAGTTCGTGGCGCCACGCGCGTGGGACGAGCGGTGAAAATTAAATAATAATAATGCACGGCGGTCGTTTATTATAATATGAGGTTTCGAGCAATGAAAATTCAAATACACGATGTCTGGCGTTTGGCGGAAAACGGTTGTATAATGTGCGCATAATGACGTCCGTGGTGGAAAAGTGTTGGCTTAGAACGCCGCTGCAGTTTGATGTTATTAGTGGTAGTGGTTATATGTTGATCGTCATGGGTAGTATTATAATATATACGTGTGTGTGTGTGTGTGTGTGTTGCTGAAGGTGAGTTTACATATTTGAATAATTTTCGAGCGATTCGGAGGACGTGTCTGTTTAGCGGGCACTACAGCTAAATTCAACCCTCGAAATCGTGGCGTCCAGGTCAACGTAATACAGTTATCTGGCGAAAATATAAGACATAATAATTATAATATTTAGAGTTAGTATATGTAACAAGCGCCTTAAAAAATATCCGTTATCGTTTGTTAGATATGCAGTGTATCTAAATAATATAATATAGTATTATAGTATATTTTTATAAAAAAGAATGATAATATAATAACGTCATTATTCTTGAACACAATATTTTCCTACTGGAGTTCCGTAATATTCGTTACGATAATAATTCCTCTCGAGGCTAGGTGGTCCCACGTAAGAAAAACTTCACCATAAATAGACTAGTACCTATTATACATTTAAAAAAAAAAACCTACCTATTCTGTTGGCCGGAACCAAATCGGAAAATAGACAAACAGTCGAGATCCCCATCGTCGTGTTAATGGATAACTACACAGTATTTGACACTTATCATTAAGCGATAATATTGTAATGTCGTCTGACAACGGGACCAATCGGTATCACATTGTCATAATATTATATTTCCGTCTCGTGTAAATCGACTCCGCTATAATGTTACTATTAGGTAGGCATGTAATGAAATGGATATTACATATACAATACTTCGACACGTTCAAATGCGATTTCGATGTAAAACCGGCAAACCTTCGCACGTTACGCTCTGTATACCCAGGTAGGCATGATATTATAATATGTGCAGTCGCAATAATATTATAATGCGCACGTCATACGCTCTCGCATATAATAGTATAATATAGTGGCGACGGAAATGTTAATATCTTCTCGTTCGCCCTTCGGGGCAGCTTTTCGCGTGCGGTGCATGTAAACACAATGCTAGAGTTTCGTGCATGTGATATAACGCGTACGAGTTGTATAATAGTAATAATAATATATAATAATATAATATATGAAATATTATAATAACACACTATTCCGACCACTCTATTCGTACACAGACTGTGTAATAATATAATATAATATAATATACTTTGACCGCGTGTGTGAATGTCAGTGTGCGGGTGTATCATATGTATATAATATACAATATATAGTAACTACCGGCGGACATGAAAGTGTGCGGACCATATTTCACGGCGAAACTTTGCAAACGTATTTTATTCCCCCCACCCCCACGCCCTTGACACTCGTCCCCCACTCGCTCCCGCCGCACTCGGATAATCCCGTTTGGCTTATCTTTCCCGCTCTCACCTAAATAACATGTGCACACGCGGGTGAATAATACGTACATTATACACATACATGTATATAATAATATGATATATGTATGGGCGTGAGGTGCGAGCGGTCGGCCGGGGGGTACAGCCCGTCAACGTTTTTGACAGGTGAATGGGGCACGGCGGGGGTGGTGGGGTGGGAGACACTGACGACGAGGTGGAGGTTAGGCGGGATGAGAGACAGAGAGACAAAAACTCTTTCGAGAAAGTAAAAACACTGACTGACCCTTTGCGAGAGCCTCCGCGTACACGTCAGTCAATGTCGGACTGACTGTACGCGACAACTGCAGCAACACTGCTCTGTTTTTAGACGGTCGTCTGTATTCCAACGAACGTCTTAATAATCCCTTAATAATTATTTTAGCTCGCGTGGCGTGCACAGCAAGTTTAACGTCGTTCCGGTTACAAGGTGCAATATAACATATTATTCGTATATATATATATGTACGAATTATGAAATAAAAATAATAATGCGCGTACATGTACCACGACTACGTAGAATCTCGGAAACGGACGTTATTCGACCGCCGCCGTGGTCGTTCGCCCTCGAAACTCGCAAGCGTTAAGCCCACCTCGAGACGTCAAGATAAACATCTCTCGTGTATACAATTTTACATCTCTCTTTATCACCAACGAAACCATTCCCGAGACGAAAAATAAAATATATCAAAAGTAGGGTTGTTTCTGTGCGTAGTTTTTAATATTATTATAATATTTAATTATGGTCTCGGTTTACACCGCGAAACAGCTACGGTAAATATTTTAATATAATATAGCACTAGTATAACATACAATATGCAATAGTGTTTTTCAGAAAAATCAAGTTGTTTTTGATAATACGTATTATACGTCCTCTAAATATTAAACGCGTTTAATATTTTATTATTATCGATTTTGTCGTGCTCGTTGACAGCATTTATAGAGGTCTGAAAGTGACAATCGTCCAGGGAGACAATAGTTTCATTATTATCATATATTGTTAATAATGTTATGATTTATTTTTTTTTTAAAGGAAAATGTTAAATATGTTTTATATCAATACACTATGTCGGTATGATAAACAAATTCGCTTCTTAATAATCCTGGTGTACCCAAACTTAAAATTGTTATAACTAAATAGTATAAATGTGTAATAGGTTATAGGTTCATTGTACATTTAATATTTAAAATGTCCATTAATTAAACTTTTAAATATACTAATTTTAAATAAATTAAAATAAAAGTCATCGAAACAAATATAAGAGAGAAATAAAGTAACCTAACCTGAAGGAATAGTGGAAGGTGACAAAATAATTTTTTCTCGAACGAAAAAACAGTAAATGCGTATGCGGCACAGCGTTATTCAATATCGAACGTGCAATGTATATAATACGATGTATTAAATGTCTCAATTTCTTTGGATCTATAATATTATTTATGTATTTATATAAGTATTGAGAATCATATCTCTTAAATCTAATTCCATATTTACACAAAGACAAAATCGCATGATAAGTTTGAAATAGACGCACCGAATAACAACTGTCTTTATATAGAGCTTATTCTATTTAAAGACTAATTTAAGTCTATATTATGATAACGTCTACGGTCTTATAAATTTACGCTCCAAAAAATCTCAAATGTATCGGTTTTATCAAACGTATGCAGGTCATCTGCCCTGTTATAATGATAATAAAATATTTTTAATACATTTATAATATTATACTGTACTTACTTATAAATAATATAACTTTACAATTATATTTGTCGACCTCATTTAACATATTTATAAATTACAATGTATTTATATACCGCTGCGACTGTGGTGCAATTAGTATTTTTATTGATAGTGCTCTTTACATAATATTATTATTATATATTTTTTATTTAAAATAATATTAATTAAAATCGACTTATAAATTAACAGATAATGAATAAAAACAAGTACATTCATGAAAACATGATAAAGGGAGTAACCCATTAGTAGCACCTCCGAGACATATACTATATTAATTTTTTTTTTTTTGAGAAATAATTAACTATAATTATAATATGTACATTATGTCATTTTTATAATTTATTGTATTAAGTTTGATTTGTTCCGCGTTTTTGTTCTAGGCGGTACATAGCATAATATGGTATAATACTTGTTTATATCCCTCGAAAACGTGTACATTTTTTTTCATTTTATGTTCGATATAAGTATATTATAACGTCATAAAATTAAGCCATTTGCGATACAAACAATTTTTTTTTATTCTAGACATATTAAATGCCTTTTTTTAGAGTGGTTGGGTAGTTGGGATGTAATGATTTTTCTAAAAAAAATATGTTTTATTTATTTTACGTTCACTTGGTTTTTTACAATCGTAATTTGACTTATTTTATGTTGAATTATTACATTAAGAAAATAAAGATCAACGTTTGAATTCACTGAATGAGCAAAATAACCTACGATGATCGCCATAGTGTGAAATCGATTTTGTTATAATTTTTTTCAAGTACTTAACAGATTATTTTATCTTTTGTTACAGAAGCATTGAAGCATAATGGCGGCTTTTGTGGCAAAGCAAGTGGTCGGAAACAAATTAAACGCCGTAAAAGGTACGCATTTATGTTATAACTTATAATATTATTTTATAAGTCTTACCTCTTTTGACATAATTTGAAACGTAGTATAATTCATTTACGTTTTTTGGTACAATGAACACTTTTAAAAATAACTGTAACGATGTGCGCCCAGGCGACAAAAACTTTAATGCACACACAATGTAGTTACGATAGCAATATTAAATATCAATATTTGAAAGTCACTCACTTACCTGTGAGAAAAGTTCTACTGGATTGTTTTAGTAGTGTCAGCCTATAAGTATATAGTATAAAAGTTTCTCTAGGTAGGTAGAATTGTAAACGCTGCAAACAAAGAGTGAATAGTTGATAATCAAAATGGTTAGATATTATGCTCTAGAGAATTTCGGAAAAGTTATAGAATTTAAAATACTATTAACTTTTGTTGGCCTCGAGACAACGCTGTCACCATTGTGAAACGAATGTGAAGGCACCCAAAATTCCTAGGAGACCCGGGCTTCTTTACATATTATTATTATTTTTTCAAAATAAAAACCTAAAAAAACAAAACAAATACAACTTAAAAATATGGCTTTCAAGCCATTTAATGCAATAAAAAAAAAACCGTCACGTTTTTATATCTCTAAAAGTTGCAGTCGTTCGAAAGACTTTTTCACTCGATCTCCCCCAAAAAAAACGGTATTTTCTAAATAAAAATATTGCGTTTTCCTTAAATGGGTAGAACGCATAAGTTTGTTTTTTTCTTTTATACTAGTTTTCATAAATCATTCGATCATAATATTGTAGTACTATTCATGGTATTGCAGGTAAGTATAATGTATTATCATCGTTTTGGTTGCTGTTCATGCTTAAACTTCGACGACGCGATGTGATCTAAAATTCTAAAATATGGATTTTTTTTTATTGAACTTAAGCCCGGCGACAAAGGCCGCGATTAACTGTTGTAGGGGTAAGGTTGGCACGATAAGTTGTTTTTACGATTGTTGCGGTTGTTATGGTATGTAGCAAACACGTGTATGTGTGGCAAGGTTTTTAACTACTATGAACTCAGGTGGTCACCCATCCGGGGGCTAGTATAGCTGTGGCTGTTACTCCTAGCCGCATTCCGCATCTGGCAACAGCCAACGCGCAACGGATTTTTGTTTTATCGTAATTAATTCTACTAAAGTCACAGTAAATAAAATTGAAGAATACATTTAGGGTTTATTTCATTATGTTTAATAGCATAGTCCAACAGTATATTATAATTAAACAAAAAAAGATACGATTAAATTTTTAATTTGAATATTGCATGTAGCACTGAACAGCGTCGATGTTTATACATAGAATTTGTTATTCTATTTAAATTGTTCGACACAACTTTTATGTTTTATTACTACTCAAATCTTGGATGTTAATCATTAGGAGGTATATATTTGTATTTTATTCTCTCTTTATAAAAAATACGTAAGTACTTAAGTTAAATGGCTGTAATAAATAAAATAATGTTTGTAAATCGTAATTGACGACATAATCGCATAATGTTTTCAGCAATAGTATAAAACCATTCATATTATTTGATTTTATATTAAAAATCCATTATTGTTTAAAAGTTCTCGTAAATACCTAACCCGGTATGTTGACCTACCTACTGAATATTTTTATGTATGATCAATACTACGCGTGTCCTACTGAGAACGGAGTGCAGTAAATAAACAATAATAAAATGGTTTTAAAATATTCATAATATTTTGAATAACGGAATTTTTACCTAACGTCCAAACGAACTCACACAATATGTCGCATCATGATACCATTCCGATCGGTTTAATATTACGACTTGTAAAACATGAGGATTTATACGTCTGTGTACTTTTATACTATGGTGGTTTGACGTCTTCTGGCCGTTCAGGATGATACCGATTTTTGCAAACGTCATGCATTACACTCCGAACAATCTAAAATCGATATTTTTCGTGGGTGGTTATGAGGTTCTTAAGGCGGAAGGGAGAGTCATAGTCTTAGCAAATAATTTCCAATCCTCATTTCACATTTTCACTTTTAACTACCTAAATAGTATAATTACTATGACTAGTAATAATATGCATGAGTGTTTAAATGTAAATATATTGAAACGATTTATCATTATTGAACTGTTTATGAATTATATTGTATTAGTGTTTTTATTTATTTGCATTGCAAGGCAATCAAATTATGAAGAGAAAAAAGATCGCTCCGTGTATTAATTATAATATACATATAATCTTCCTTCAAAGTCGACCAGCACCCCGGCGGGAGCCACTAGTGCGTTAATATAATACTGATAATATATTAAATGATGTATTGTGTATGGCATACCTATATTATAGTATATATTTACATTTTTTTTTATAAAAGGTCCTTTTTCGAACAAAGTGGATTTTAATAATTCCGCATAGAAATCCGGCCAGTTACTGTCGAAACGACTGGGTTGTGGCCGGTGGAGAAGAGAGATGAAAGTGATGGCTCGAGTAGGAAAATTGCACTCTCCACACACACACACACACACACACACACACACACACACACACACACTCACCCACAAACACACTACTGCAATATATATATATATATATATATATATAATAATGGACTGTTATCGACCGACAGCGAGATAATGGTCGTCAAATTAGGTAGGCGCCACTGCGGGCTGACGAAGGCTGGGGGTAGCTATTGTTCGTTTCATAAAAACACACATCGCGCCACGTCGGCGGCGTCGACAAAAACCCGAAAAGCTGAAGACGCAGCCGGGCCGAATATTATACGAACTCGGTCTTGCCAGAGTGGCGGCGCTGCCGAAAAAATAAATAAACGCACATATACGTATATATGAGTAATAATTTGTTCATCCCCCGCGTGCGCCATGTGCGCCCTCGTCTCGCCCTATGTGCATTGCAATAATAATAATAATGTATATATGTCTATCCAAACGCGGGGTTTCTACTCGTTCTTCTCGTTCTTCTTCTTATTATTATTATTTTCGCGAAATTCAATTTTACGCACACGCGGCCACCGTATATTTCTCTATTTTTTTCCTCCCGATGCGCGAGTGTTGAAATCTCCTATTTTCTCAAAGCACCCAATAAAATAAATATACGACCTCGCCCCCGTGCCGCCGCTATTATACATATATTTTATACCCATTGAGGTCGACATTATACCGAAGACGTTACTGCTATAGCGGCACACACACACACACACACACACACCCAAAAATATTTATATCGTACGACTACGCCGTGCGTGAGCCCCGTGAAGATTTAATAGTATTCTCTGTTGCAGCGTGTGTGAGCTCGAAATAATAATAATTTTTCCGCCGCCGCTGCGAATTACGGGTTGTTTATCGCGGACGTCGAGACGATTAAGAACTCAAAAGTATATAGCAGTACGCCGCCACCGCCTCCGACGCTATGACGTCGTCGTGTAATATACGCGATAATAATAATAATAATAATAATAATAATTTAACGTCGTTTTTTTAATTACCAGCCGTCCCGGCCTCTTATTGTTATACGACGTGGCTATTATTCGCAGTTGCTTTCGGGCACGAACAGAGCGTTTTCACGTCGATCGCGTTTTCCGGGTGAAATCGCGATTCTCACTCGGCCTCCTCGTCGTAAAAACCTCTAGAGGTTATTATATCGGCCATTTTCCGCACCCCGAAATTAGGTCGAGTCGACGTTTTTATGAATTATTTCCTGAACCCGTTTCACGGAACGTTTTTTTCTGCCACCATATTCCTGTTCGCCTGGCGCTCCCTTCCACCCAGTACCTCGTCGACACACACTACGTATACACTATTATTTTTTATTTTAATATATATTTCCACCTTGTGTGCAGGTACGATTTAGGTGTATATACATGTATAATATATATTGTGAATATTTTGACACGAAGGTGCAATTTTATTAAAGAACTCGCCAATTAATATCTTGCGTACACCCCGCGTATACCTACACTTTGCGAGAGAGTTTTGCATGATTAAACGTTAACCCTTAGTGTAAGTACGGGTATAATAATTATATACTATATACCTAGTGGCGCACTGTATATAATATGCATATATACCCTGTTACTATAGCAGTATAATATCTTTCAGTAGGTTTTATGCATATATATATAATGTATGTATATAAATAATAAATATATATTATAAAGTAGTGCAAAAAATCAATACTTAAAAAGATTTAAATCAACTCTTATTTTACTTGTTTTTCATCGCAGCGATGGTATGTAGTACACGAATAAAATTCTGAGAGACAAAGACAGAGTTCCACTTTTCCATTGGAATTAAAGACTGCGAACCGCTTAATCCTAACCACTCATATAATGCATGCAGTATGCACTTTGTTGATAAAACAACTTTCTATAAATTGCGGAATATTCCTTCCATTATTTATTTATACGATTTTTTTTCAATTCTCCTTACGGTTATTAAGTTTTTGCGCATCTTATTTCGTAACGAGTTCTTTTTAATACTTTTTTTTTATCAATCCAATAAGCAAAATTGTTTTAAATTTCAGTTGAAAACCAAATATATATCAATTTTATCTTTGAAAAAAATGTTTAAATGACAGTTTTAAATAGCTTTTATCATTTATGATAGTAATTGTGTAGACTCGTTCTCATAGGAATATTATAGTATTTAAACTACTACTCATCAAAGACTTATTTGAGTTGGATATTATATATTAATATTTGAGTCAATCTCCTGTAAATTTCTTTCACTTACGTCATAACATGATTTTAACAATTTATAACATTTAAATCAATATAAGTACTTATATACTGTATAACATTTATTTATTCAGCGTCGTAATATAATATAAAATCAAATTGTTCTGATTATTATGCCATATAAATGAAAATGTCAATTTAATTATTCAGGTTAGTCATAAAATAATTATAAATTTCCTCCATAAAAAAATCCGGAAAAGTTTATTTTTACACAAACTAATTGCAAAAATAATAGTTTTATATTTTTTTCTAGGTGTTAT